CCGGTCATGGTACGGGTGCGACACCGAGGGTTGCGATCCTGTTGCCGGTGCGACACCGAGGGTTGCGATCCCGTTGCCGGTCATGGTACGGGTGCGACACCGAGGGTTGCGATCCTGTTACCAGTCACGAAAAAAGACAAAAAGGGAAAAAAAAAAAATGGTCTTCTCGTTAGGTTGCTAAAGAAGTCCCCTGGACTCCTCAAAAGTCCCCCATGGGTCAGCAGTCTAGAAACGCCCTGAGCCACATGACTAAAGGTGTTATCTGCGTATTTCTGTAAATGGCCCACTCAAAACTGGACAGCAGATGGAAATGTGGCGGGTCAGTACCTGCTCCCTCCTGAGCTACTCCCTGTGGTCAAAGGCTAAGTGGAGACCTTAGTGAGCCAGTCAGTGAAAGGAATGAGGGACACAGAGGGACAAGTGTCCCAGGCTGATGAAGCAGCACTTACAGGAGGACCAACAGCAGTGGGACTGCAACCTGGCCTGTTGATGAAGAGGTGTGAGGTAGGTCTGGCGGGAGAGTAGGACCAGGCTGCAGGACACTGAGAGGCCTGCTGAGTAGCTGGGGCTTTCCTGAGGTCAACCAGGAGCCACCGTCTTGTGCAGGCATATGATTAGATCACTATCAGTCATCCGTCTGCAGAAGAGTCTGTGTCTTCCATGCGGGAGACGCTTTAGGGTGCTGGGGAGCTGTGTTTAAGGCAGTGATAAGAGAAACCAGGTCCCTACCATCATGGGCCCCCAGTCTAGGAGGAGAACAGACGATAAACAAGTAAGTGATGAGTGCTTTTGGAGAGTTACCTGCTACCAAAGAAATAAAACAGGGTAATGGCATGGGGTGAGTGGGAAGGGCTGCCACTTTAGAAATAGTGGTCAGGGAAGACCTCTCTAAAGAGGTGAGATTGGAGCTGAGACCTGAATCAGAACACGGAGCCAGATCTGTATAAAAAGCAGACCCAGCGGAGGAAATAATCTGTGCAAGAGCCCGAGGGCGGAAGGGGCTCGCGTGCTGAAGGAGGCAGAGCCAGGGTGACGGGAGCGAGTGGAGGAGGTGCTGTGAGGCAGGAGGTGGAGGTGCGTGGAGGCTGAGGACACAAATGCCACAAACCCAGTGCTGCGACGCAGTGGGTCTGTTTTCTTTAAATCAAATGAGACCTGACCTGAGACCTATCCCATCCAGCATCAGCCAGGAGAGGGGCTCTGCCACCCATCTTGGGACTCACAGAATTCTGCAGGCAAGTTGGGGGGCCCTGGACAATGAGGGCTGGGCTGCTGATATTCCCAAGTGGAAACCCCTAGAAAGAGGCAACCGCAGGCTTGGTGGCCAGGCCAGAGCTCTGGCCTTGTCTAAGGCATGTTGAGTGCAGGCCACGGTCCCCACAGTCTGGAGACCTGGCCTGGGTAGGGAGGCTCTTCCTGGCTTCTCTCTCAGGGCCTCAAAGGTGCTCACTTCTTCTCTTCCCTCCAGCAGAACACCCTGGAGCAGGGGAAGCTTCTGGAAAACAAAATGCAGGTCATCTGCCATTGCTCCCACTTCCTAGTGGGTTACTCATACCTGTCTGAGGCAGAGGAGTACAGAGGCTTGCTATTTGTGCACAAGCAGAAGTGGCAGTAGCAGTGACCGGCGGCTGGGTACAGCATGGAACTGGGAGGGTGGGCAACATGATTGTTTTTGCTGGAGAGATATTCTGGAAGCGACTGTGTCTAACTTCAGTGGCTACCTTCAGTCCAATGAGGGGATTTCTGTCACCCTGACTGGCAGGGCGTCTGCAGTTTGCCAGGCTTCATTCTGTGAGTCATGGCACAGACTCCCATCACTACTGGGAGAGGGCAGAAACCTTTGTTCTCTTTCCTATGGAGAATTCTTACCTCAAAAGCCAAACCCTGGAGTTGTTGCTAATACCATGTTTCAAGCACAAACTTTAAAATAAAAGGAGGTAAAACGAATTTGCTTTTAATCGGTTAGGAGAAAACTAAAAGGCCAGAGAGCCCCAGTTCCTCCCACCACGAGCTCATGGTGTCTGTGTGGCTCACTGAACTCTGTGCTGGGCTGGAGCAGTCCATGTCCCCCTGACTGCTCAGGCTTGGTGGTTTCCCCTCCCAGCCCTGCACCCCAGCTTCAGCCTCCTCTGACTCTCCGCTCCACATGCCCAGCTGCCTTCTGGACACCCTCAGTGAAAGAACAACATTCCCAGTCAAAGGTTCTGTCTTTCCTTGAAACTCATCCTACCTCCCAAATTCCTCAGCACCATCTTAAGTTGCTCGGGCGTTCTCCTGCCTTCCCTTCTTGAGGCCCCCCCAGTGACCAGGTGGTTCAGATGTGGGTTCTGTGACATGATGCTGACTCCATCATGAGAGCATAGCCCATGGCATAATTCTAATAGTGACATTATCCCATGAGAATCGCTTTGGGACAGCTGGGAAGGTCTTTTCCCACCTTGATCTTTTCCTAACTCCCAACCATTAGATAGTTGTTGTGAAGGTGGGTGGCATCGTAAGGCTGCAGAACAAGAACGGTTCAGTATTCATTTCAAAGATTCCCCCACACCGGAATAAAGCATGTGAAAAAGCAGACAGCAAACTGTTTAAAGATCCTTCATTCCAACAGCACCTGCAGGGACATCAGGAGAGAACAGGACATGCTTTGCTGACCTTTTAAACACTAACTCCACTAGACAGAAATGTCAAACTTATTTCAGTGTTCCACGCTGAGGTTAACAAAAAACATGACTCACACTCATTTCAATTTTTTATTAAAATATTTTCTTGTTTATAGGGACAACCAAAGAAAAAATACACAATTTTATATGTTGTAGATCACATAAACTACAATAAACATAGACTCTTGGGAATGCACAATAGATTTTTAAAGTCTTCAAAGAAGATTTCATAAAAACAAACCTTTAAAATGTGGCTTGTTTATATTAACCTCATTTTTCAGAAGAGTTTTAGTTTCTTTTCTTCATTTTGATGTTACTCTGATTTATAAATCATTGTTCAAATATTCTGACATATCAATTTTGTTTTCTGAAACATTAGAAATCATATTTCTAAATGAAGACCTCTCTTTTATAGCATCCTATGTAAACAAAGACTAGATTGTATTTAAATTATTATTTTATTTGGTGCCGCTATTATGAGTACAGTTTCAGTAATAAGTAAACGTTATGGGTAATAAAAAAACAACAGAAAAACCTGCTAGCAAACACATGTCTTACTATAGGAGAGAACCCTTTTATATATGACTTTTATAATGCCCACTGATTTAAAATCTAGTGTTTTTGATCTGGTTATAAAGAAGGTAACAACCTAATATTTGATTAAAAAAGCAAAAAGAATTTTTACCAAAGATTCAATATAGAAGTGAATGTGCTTAGAATGGTAATAGAGGGTCTAAATTTTAATGAAGCTACTGGCTTCTCAAATGTTATATTTTCAATTTGGAAAAATATTATTACTCAAAACCTGAAAGACATTATAGAACTGGAAATGGAATCTGTAGGCAAACTCTTTCTTTCAATCTGTTCATAAATCAGAAAAATTAAGCAAAATTTAAATATGAAAGATCATTACATCTAGCGATCATTTCCAATGGGAGAAACGGCGGTAAGAAAAATCAGTTAAAACAATGTGATTTAAGAAATTATCCTCCCAAGGGGATGGAAAAGAAATATTACATTTTAAAATTTAATAATGAAGGGCCGGCCTGTGGCTCACTCGGGAGAGTGCGGTGCTGATAACACCAAGGCCACAGGTTCGGATCCTATATAGGGATGGCCGGTTAGCTCACTGGTTGAGGGTGGGGCTGACAACACCAAGTCAAGGGTTAAGATCCCCTTACCGGTCATCTTTAAAAAAAAAAAAAAATTTAATAATGAAGGGCCGGCCTGTGGCTCACTCGGGAGAGTGCGGTGCTGATAACACCAAGGCCACAGGTTCGGATCCTATATAGGGATGGCCGGTTAGCTCACTGGTTGAGGGTGGGGCTGACAACACCAAGTCAAGGGTTAAGATCCCCTTACCGGTCATCTTTAAAAAAAAAAAAAAATTTAATAATGAAGGGCCGGCCTGTGGCTCACTCGGGAGAGTGCGGTGCTGATAACACCAAGGCCACAGGTTCGGATCCTATATAGGGATGGCCGGTTAGCTCACTGGTTGAGGGTGGGGCTGACAACACCAAGTCAAGGGTTAAGATCCCCTTACCGGTCATCTTTAAAAAAAAAAAAAAAAAAAAAATTTAATAATGAAGACCCACAAAAGATACAGTTTAAATGTGTCTGTTGTCATCATTAAGAAAACATAAAGCATGTTGCCAATAAACACAAAAACATTCCTCCATTCATAGGTATGAAATTACTTTGAAAACAACAAAGTTGAAATGGAGCAGTTGGCTGCAGATTCCTTTAAATTTTCCCCTCTCTTAAGTTCCAGAGAACCCTCAGATTTATAGGTATTAAAGCTAAGGGAAGAACGGGGAGCTAAAATGTTTTCAAGGCACTTTTAAACAGAGGCATTCTAGGTAAAAGTAAGAAAAGGACACCCCAATGTTTTCCTACCAACGAAATAAATCCAGGAGCTAATTCTCAAGTTTTTAGAAGGGTAAAGTACCTTGAATACTTATTACAGTTATCTGAAAGAACAGAAAAGGTATTAAGATTTTACATTTTATAATAGTTAATCATAATATTACAAATGATTTTGTAATTAACTACTGTTCAAATAATGAATAATATAAAGTGTATCTAACAGCATTATCTATTAATTATATACTAAAATATGTAGATGTATAAAGAGGTATTCCTAAAAAGTTACTTATAATTCAAATACGCACTAGAGAAATTAGTAATTTTGAGTCTCTGTAATATAAATATGTTCTAGATTCACACTTGAAGATTCAGATTTGTAGTCTGTGAAGGGCACATAGTATTTAAGCTTATCTTTATTGAAACATTGTATTAAAAACTGACTAAATATTCTGTAGTGTATTTGGAGTGAAAGCCATTTTGAACAGAGGTTCTTTTTTTAAATTTCATAATCTTAACCTCTCATAATATGATTATGCTCATTTAGTAGGAACATGAGGTCCAGATATAAACTTAAATGAAAGATTACAAAATAACAAAAATAATGAGTGTGAATAGTTTTAAAGTTGTTTCCCATCATTCCCAGCATTTCAGCCTTCCCTGGTCATACCCATAAATTCTCTTCTTCAATTCCCCTCCGATCGATCGATCACTCACCTGTCCCGGCTGAGACTGAGCAGGCTCATTCTCGCTTGGAGTACAGCCTTACCCTTCAGCTATGCCGTTTCACTGCAGGAACAAGCTGGTGCTGTAAGTGGAGTCTGACAGGCAGCTGTTCCCCAACCCTAGTGCTCTCTAAGCTGGTACCTTAAGTCACAGAAATGCTTTATCTTGCTAACTATTTACCCCAGCAGTGTATTTAATGCAGTTTCATAGGTGTGCCCTGAAATTTGTGGTAAAAATTCTTCATCACTACCTATGTCAGTACTTTGGGCAGGTGGAATAGAAGAGAACAAGAAACTTTCCCTAAAGCTTTGTTAGCATATTATAGGATGGATTTTCAGATGTAAGAATTTTCAATTATAGAATTTAGAAAACATTTACTTTCTAAATGCTTTTATACATAAAAAGCTATAAAATTTAAGCTACTTATGGTGATTTCTATGTGAGTTTTCAGAGACACATCTGAATATCTACCCTATTTATAAAACAGATGAACAGTACAAGGCACAGTGAAGAATGACATACGACTATGAAAACTCAGTGTCTCAGGAGTAGCACACGAAGAAATCATAATTTACGTTAACATTCTTCTGCTAATACTTTGAAAACAAAAAGCTTTTGAAATGCTAGAAGAAAAAAACATCAGGCTTTAGTTAAAAGCCTCAGATCATTCAGGGAATTCTGTGTGTACCTGCTTCTCATATGACCAAAGTTGTACATGTAGTCACACGAAAGGGCTTTTTGCTAGTGGGCAATGAAGTTAGTAAGAGCAATTATAATCATATAATTTAACACATTACTGGATATGTCATACTTTAAAAGTAACTCATTCCAAATTCTTTACATCTTCTTAACTTGCTGGCATTATGATACAACAAGAAGACGCACAGAATAGCTTTTCATACCTTTCTTTTTGACTAAATTGCTTTGGTTTGCATTTCTTTTCCTTTTTAGAACATGCAGTTCATACATTTGACAGTTTTACTACCATAGTCAATACATTCTGGACCAATGCACTCACAGCAGGCATTGTGAAACCAGCGATATTTGGATGCCCCCATGGACTCACAGGATATCTTACACTGATGTATGGACATGCAGTCATCGAAATAAACCACAGTACACATGTGTTCTGAAAAACAAAACATTAAGATTTCAGAGCAAGAAAGAGGAAAAACTAGAAATGCTTTAATACCCAGTTGAATATTATTAATTGTTATTTATCTTGGTTCTCTCATTGCCAGTCTGCACAGCACAAAGATAAGGTATAGGAAAAATGTTATTCATTTGTTAATTATGTAGAGAAGCAAGCCAGACTCTTCTACTCCAGCTGAAGAAAGGAAAAGGCTTCCTTAGTATCTTTAATCAGATGTCAAAGTTGACCTGAAGGTTAGATTATTGAGCTTAAAAATGTTACTATGCTACAAAGCTGTGCTTTTTAAACTAGGCATTTCTGATAATATTTACTTTTGGCTAGAGAATCCTCTAGCCAAAAGAAGTTTGAAAAATACTGTTGCAAAGTCACACTGAGAATTTATAATAAAATAAAACAAACTTAAGTAATTCAAATGATGCAAAGTGATTAGCAATGCTTGGCACAAATCAGCATTAACTATTAGAAAATATACTTCTTATTCATAGTGATTTCTAGTCCTGCTTTCCAACTAACATTTTTCATGTTTCAATTTTTAGTTCTCCTAGAGGTTAACCCCATATGACTACCTAGCTAGGGTACATGAAATAAATAAAAATCATGAATAGACAGTACATGATCAGAGGCTGATGTTTTTACAGAGCCATTGGTTGAACTGACGAATCACTGAGGGTCTGAATAGTAGGGAAGGCTTAATGGAAACTCGGGAAGTGGACGCAGCACTATCCCAGGCAGACCAGCGGGACTGGCAGTAAGGCAAGGGAAGCATCCCACTCTCCAAGTGACTGGGACAGTACTCAACTCCATCTATTTATTCAACAAGTACTTATTGAACAACTATGATGGGATAGCCATGAAGGACTCAAAGAATAATCAGAGAATCCAAGGAACTAAGTAGAAGAACAGAAGATGGTAGACCTGTAAGTTAAAAACAGACAACAAACAGAACCACCAGTGAAGGGAGGAGGAGTAGAAAGTAACTATTTCTCTTCGGGGGAAGGGGTGCCTGGGGAAGGCGTCAAGGAGAAACTTCAGCTCTGCCTTACAGGACAGTTGGCATTTCCAGGAATTAGCTTTCTGATAATTATTTCATGAATTTAGATAACATCTGAGCAAAATTTATGAATTATTATTTAATATCTATAATTATTTACATTTTAATAATGGGGAAAAAGGTAGCAAAACATCTTATTATCACATTCCATATATTTCTGATGTTTTCCAAAACTTAGAATTTGTTTTATAAAGTACTTTAACCTAAAAGGAAATAAAAATTCTTACTCTGTCATTTAAAAAAAGCTGCTTTGCTTTTACTATTAATGTCTGAAGTACATACTACTTTGTATAGGTAGGTTATAAACAATAAAGGGTACAAGTTACAGTATTATACAAATTCATCTCATATTTTGAGAAATAACTGTAATTTTCATAATTACCTCATTCTCCCACAGTAATATTATGTGGTGCCTTTTATTGGAAAATATCAAAGACTTTATAAAAGTTACATACCCTTTCCATTCCAAAATTATGATATGACCTATCCTCACTAATACATGTTCTTTAATATGCTTCACGTACTTGTGTGAGTCATTCTCTGATGTAGTTCCCCTTACGACCAGCAGCCCCCATTTGCAGAGAACTGGCTGAGGTCAGTTTATACCTGGAAATGAGATGTCTGTAATACCAACTTGCTCATAGAGAAATTTAGCTGATGACCTTGGCAGCACTGGTGGTGCCAATGCTGTTATAAAAACCCGATTTCATGGGACACGGAACATTACCTGACAATGAGAAATACTGCATTAGGTAAGCAGCAGCACTGCTGCTATCTTATAAAAAGAATAATTGAAGCCTAACACAAATAAATGCCACAGTTATCTATTTTCCAATATAGCCTCCATTGCCAGGAGTATGAAGGAGCTCTGACAATATAGTGACATGCCCCCTCATCTAGTCAAGGATCAGTGTTATTGAAATCTAGAATTTATGTAAGACTATATAAATTCAAAACCAAAAAGCTGCTCCAAAAGATCATCTTAATGTAAGTGTCAGAGACCACATGAGCAAACCAAATGAGGAGGCGGAGCAGAAAAAGTCAACTGTCGACAGTTACCTTTGTCACTGGAATAAGGCGCGTGAACATTATTGCTGGGAACAGACACATTTTGGTGGTGTGGCTGGTTCACAGTTTCTAAAAATGAAACCAGGTTCTCATGATGTGAAAGTTCTTCTGCAACAGGGAAGGAAACAATGTTCCAGTTCAGCTGGGTGTCTCCCTCTGTCAGTGCCCGGAAGAGAGAGGGGATGGGCTCGTGCAGCTCCTCCACTGTGCTCTTTGAAGTTGGAGGTGTGTCACTGTAATTTCGAGGATTACACATTCCTGGGGAGGGGGTGGCAAAGAGAATAAAAGCTTATTTTTCTCACTGACTGCAACATCATGAGATTTTGCGAGCTACTGACCTGCACTCAAAGCTCCAACATAATATTAAAATTATATGACTGCTAACATTGTGTGATATCTTCCCAGCTGTTTTTGCTGAGAGGGCCTAGAAGTGATGATGCCCCACCCAGTGGCTTTGAGCACCCCAAGTGCACAAATACCTACCACTAACAGGAACCAGAATCCCTTGGAGAAAAGACTGATTCCAGGGCTGGGTCAGGGGAAGTACAAAATGAGCCTGAAATAGTTTTTTTGTGCCAGAAAGTAAGGAAGTGTTCAATGAATTATGGGACATGTTGAAAAGACACGGGACGCTCCCAATGGTCAAATTGAGAATTAGAGCATTAAAATAATAATGGATTACCACCTGTGAATAAAATAAGAATCGATGAGTCATTATATTATAAATAAATGAATAAATAAATGGAGGAGAAGGCGAAAGCTCTTCCATACCAACTGATAAATGCAAAAGGAAGGAATGAAACAGAAAATCACCACTTGGCACTATCACAGAGGTGTCTGATTCAGACAGGAATCCTTGATGGTTGCTAAGGCTGACGGGTGGAGGTTCGATGAGGAACATATTGGTGTATTTCTAGTTACAAAAGGGTTAGTGGTGACTTTAATGTGGAGAAATCTGGCAGCCATGATCAGGAAGTGAAGGTTAACATCACCGGTGATGGGGACAGGTTGATGTTGTATGTCACCTGACATAAGGCGTATAGCATTTCAGTGATGATGTTGCCAAGGATGCGTGACTTAAGTCTAGCCATAAGTCAACACGAGGTAGGTTGAGGCTGAAGATCATTCTACACAATGTAAGGTCTGTACTCTTTAAAACTGTCAAGGGAAAGACTAAGGGACTATTTCAGATTTTTTGAGTCTGAAGAGACATGACAACGCAATGCATCACATTTTCCCAGACAGGATCCTGCACCAGAAAGGAACGAGAAACCACTGAGACAGCTGGTGACATCTGAATGGGGTTTGCAGCTGTGGTAGCAGTGCTTTCCCTGATTTGGTGGGTTGTGTGCTAGTTACGTAGAAGAATGTCCTTGTTGTTGAAAAACATCAACTGCAGCGTTTAGTGGTGATGGGACATCATGTGTGAAGCTTGCTTTCTAAAGATTAAAAAAAACAAAAACGAATGATTGTGTGTGAGTGTGTGTTGGGGGGTTACTGAGCAATGGAGCAAATGTGAGGAGAAAATATTAGTAACAGGATTCTGGGTAAGGGAATACGGGAGTCTTTTTACCCTTCTAGCAAGTTTTCTCTAGGTCTAAAATTATTTCAAAATAAATTATTTTAAAAAATATCTTTCTTTTTCTTTTGTCACTGACTTGAAGTTCAAAAAATAATTTCAAAAGGAGAAAATGGCAGGAGAGAATGGAGACAGTGAGCACAGAAAACTTTTTCAAGGAATTTTGCTATACAGGGGAGAGCTGGACAGGTGTTCAATTAGCCCCAGTCTTCAATCTACCCTAGCGGAGCAGAGCTACCCCTACGTGACCCAGCCCCAAGAGCAGATTCGTGAGCTAATTAAATGATGATTGCTGTTTTAAGCCACTATGTTTTGGCATAAATCGTTTAGTAGCAATAGTAAATGGAACGGAGCCCTCTGGGTTTCCTTTTGTGAACATTATCTTTAAATGCTAAGTTATGTTTCATTTTTGTTGAATGAAACATAACTTAGCATTTAAAGATAATGTTCACAAAAGGCATTTTTGTTTAACATCTACTAGGTCTAACATGGAATTTCACTTATTCCCAGATTAAAAATTTAAAAGTTAAACCAAATTTACAAATTCCTATATTTTATAAATTCAAAGAGGAAAAAAACTCATCACATCTGTTCTCCACACTTGGTTGGTTTAAGGAGCATAACAAGAGCTGAAGAGGAAAACAAAGTTGGGCATGGTCTTTGTAAAATTTTTTAAAACTTAGATTGTATGACAGAGTCATGGATTAGATGATCAGTCTGATTCCTTTACTCATAAAAGAGAAAATAACTCCAGATAAATTAAATGACTTGGCCAACATTCCACAACCTAGGATTAGAGCCAAGATCATGATTCAGCCTCCTGATTTCATGTCCACTGCTCTAATAACCACATTCTACAAATAATCTTTAAGTGGCATTGAAAATCAAATAATATTTGGAATGCTTGTATTATACAAATATACGTGATATATTTTTCTCCTAGATTCTATGATTAATGAAAATTAGTAATCAGAGATGAAAAGGTAAACAACTGAGTCCAAAGGGTAAACTCAACATCTACTGAAGACTTTAAAGAAACTTAAGTGCTCATTATTAGAGATTTTATTACATCAAAACAAAAATTTTTTTGGAGTTTTGTGCACTTAACAAATTTAGGCCAAAAACATTTGTAATCCATATTTCAATATATTGTATTAAAACCAGTGAGCGTCAAGCAAATGCTTGCTAGCTAATGTTTTTCCATGGCATCATTGTAAAATTTTCATCTACCTTCTCTTTTTAATCAGGATTATATATCCAAAGAGATCACCAAAGAGACTCATTGGGCATGCTGATGTTGAAGACCCATTTCCTGCCTTTAGCACTCTCCAAACCCTTGCATTCTTTCAAGCACAGTGAGCTATGAAATCTGATCTTCCAATGAAGTGTAGAAGTTATCCTGCTCAGGAAAAGAAACCTTTCGAAGTTTCTTGAAAGTCTTTAGCTGTCCATCCTCATTATGTACAATGGATCGATTTCTGGTTGGAGTTACCAACTACTTGTGGTTTAAATTCAGTTAGTAAAAGCTTTCTGGGAAGCCTCTTACCATTGTCCTGAAGTTTACCATTATTACGGAGCTTTTATTTAGTTAAACGTATAGGTTGTGTTTGGAGCTGTCATTTATTTTCACGACCATTTTCTTAAGATATTATGTTACTATTTTGCATTCTTTCACTACATGGAAATTTAAATACTAATTATATTAAAAATTTTAAAGAAACTAACTCTACAAATGACAGTCAGGGAGGACAAAAACCAGGAAACAAATGGCAACAACCAAAAGGCAAACACTTTGAAATCCTTTAATTTAATTTTTTTTTCCTTTTTGTCTTTTTTACTGACCGGTAACGAGATCGCAACCCTCGGTGTCGCGCCCGTACCGGGGACTGGCAACAGGATCACAACCCTCAGTGTTGCTCCCGCACCGCGCTCAGCCAGTGAGCGGGAACCGGTCTGTATGTGGGATCCGAACCCTCGGCGGGAGCGCCGCTGCTCTCCCAAGCGGCGCACTTCTCCAGTGTGCCACCGGGCCGGCCCAAATCCTTTAATTTAATTTAATTTAATTTGGCAGCTGGCCAGTAAGGGGATCTGAACCCTTGACCTTGATGTTATAGGGCCACACTCTAACTGAGCTAACTGGCCAGCCCCCTTTTAAAAAACATTTTTTCCCCCAATCCTTTAAGTGACTAGAATTTGGATAGTATTTTCTTTCAGCAAGCCAAAATTCACTGTCATCATGCCCTTGGTCTTTAATGACTAAATCAAAAGAATTTTTCTGTTATAATTGATTAATGCTCAATTTTTTTACATATCTGACCTGTCAAGACCACAGGTTTGAAAACTAAGGATATGTTAAAAGTAGTTTACTTAACACAACCACATTTTAGGGTAGAAAGTCATATCGTCAAAGGACAATATTTCTGATTTCAAGATAAAATACACTTTTCCTTGAACTCCATAAAGTATTGAAAACCATGCTGCATTTCACACAGCATTACCTATAAGGTCTTCTTGCCAAAAGATATTAAACCTGAATCTAATCAAGCTCTTACAGTTAGCTTCAAATTGCTGGAAATACAGAGGGACAGAAGGCCAAGTTAAAGGATACCACAGGAAACAGTCTAATCCTGAATGTGGGATGTTCTTTAGGTCAACTGATGCAGTTTCTTTAATATGTGAAATGGCATGGGGGAAAAAAGGAGGCTCACTGTGGATTAAAGATGCAACAACCGGATGCAATACAAAGACCTTGCTTGGATCACTTTGAACAAGCCAACTATAAAAACATATTTTTTAATGAGACATCTGGAAAAACTTGATCATGAATTGAATTTCAGATTATAACAAGATATTATTGTTAATTTTGTTAGGTGTCATGACGGCATTATGATTAGAAATGTCCCTTTTCATAGAGATTGACACTGAAGAATGTAGGGGTAAAAATTATTTGCTGTCTATAATTTGCTTTTACTTCAGCAAAGAAAGTAAAAAAAGTGGTAGATAAAGCAAATGTGGTATATTCTCGGTCACTGTTGAATCTGGGTGATGAGCACATAGGAGTTCATTGTACTCTTCTCTCCACTTCTGTATATATACATATTTTTAAAAGTCTATTTATTAATATTATTATTTTTTTACATTCTAAGATGTTGTTAGAGAGCAGTTGGGGGGAGGGAGGGCAGGAAGGGGAAAGGAAATAGGGTGGGAGAAGGAGGAAGACAGGGTGTAGTTGAGGCCCATGGCACCTCCCTCATTCCTACAGGGAGACCAGGGGGCTTCCAGTGGTGGCTCAGTCGCTGCTGGGCTGGATGCAGATGTCAGGGGGCTGTGGCTGAAGCCCTTGGCCTCCCACCACCCCGGCTCAGGAGACCAGGGGGCTTCCAGTGGTGGCTCGGTGGTCATCACTGGGCTGGTTGCGGGTGTCAGGGGGTGTGGCCAAGGCCCTCATCCCCCCAACCCCCAACCCCAGCTCGGGAGCCCAGGGCACTTCTTTCCACTTCTGTATATTTGAAGATTTTTATAATAAGAAATGAACTGCCATATTTAATTCCTTTATGGACAATTATTTTATTTTTGAACTTTTGTGTTTTGTTGGCATTTCTATGCTTGGACTGTTCTTTCTTGTGGGCCACATAATAATAAGGTTTCAGTGTATCTTTAAAAATTATTCTGCTATCCT